GAGACCAGCAGACTGAATCCCAGGCCCAGCTCTGCCACACCCTAGCTGTGAGATACTTGGTAAATTCACTAATCTCAAGTATAAAATTGGGGGGAGGGCTAACTGTATCAGTCAGGGCTCTCTAAGGAAAGAGAACTACATCATATATACGATCTGATCAAAATATATGGTGAATCTTAAATTTTTTAAAAAAATCATTACAGTAAAAGACACATTGCATTAATCACCCTTAAAATACTCTCCCTTGCTCCAAACGCACTTATGCCATCATTCTTGTCCTTTTCTGAGACAGTTCTGGAAGTCCTCTTCCATGAATGTCTTTATGAGGTGCGATAAACATACAGTGAATGCTGCTGCCGAGTGCCATCCAAGGGAAAGGCGGGCTCAAAAAGACACCAGGCATGTCTTCATCTGCTTTATTCACCAGATCTGGCACTGTGTGACTTCTGGCTCTTCCCCAAAGTCGAAATGACCATGAAAGGTCAATATTTTGAATCGATTCAAGACATTGACACAGCCATTAATCCACCTAAAGATACTCACAAAAGGGGATTTCCAGAACTGCTTCAGAAAGTGGCAAGAACAATGGGATAGAGTGTTAGCAAGGGGGAGGATTTTGAGGGGATTCATGGCAATGTGTCTTTTACTGTAATCAATTTTTAAAACCTAAAACATTTCTCATATATGATTGATCACACCTTATGTATTTACAGGGTACTGCACCCTGCAAGAGTAATTTGTACTTATGGTCAGCTGATTGGAGCTTTAGCCATATGTACAAGGTAGCTTCCTGGCACACCTCAGTTGGTATTTGAGTAACTGTGTGTGTCCCATAGCCTGGCCAAGTTGATGTGTAAATCTGCCCTGTGCCCTCTTCCCTAGGAGTTAGGAAGATTGAGTAGGACACTTTGCAAAGCTAAGCACAGAGCCTACCACATTATTGGCATTATTATTACTGCTGTCCTTTTAACTTTTGGCTTGGTTTTGGTCTGTAATTGGTTCAACAGAAATGTGCTTCTTTCCTAGGGGTTTGCTACCTTGACACATTGCATATACAGTCACGGGTGCTGTTACACCAGGAGGCAAGCTATTGGAACCAGGCAGTAAGAACCTGAACACCCTGTGTCCAATCCGCTTATATAGAGCTTTCTGTAAGTGCTCAATGTGCATGAAGAAATGAATACATAAATGAAAACAAAATCCTCTCAAGTATGGCTTAGGTCAGTGCAGTCTAATACACGTGTAACGCCAGCCTCATGACAGGTTTATGTACTTTAAAACTTCATAGTAGCCACATTCAAGGAAAAAATAGGGCCGGCATAGTGGCACATGCCTGTAATCCCAGTTACTTGGGAGGCTGACGCAGGAGAATGGCAATTTTGAGGCCAGCCCGGGCAACTTGGTGAGATCCTGTCACCAAAAAAATATTTTAAAGGGCTGGGGATGAAGCTCAGTGGTAGTGTTGGCCTAGCTTGTGAACACAGGGCCTGGGTTCAATTTCTAGTGCCACACACACACGCGCACACACACACGTGCATGTGTGCATACACCCATGAAAGAAGAAAAATGCATTATTATTTCAACATGTAATCAGTGGAAAAATTATTATTATTATTTTTATGTCATAAATGACCTTTAATATTTCCCTCTTACAACATTATTACTGCTTAAAGTAGAAATGGCACACAACTCCTGAAAAATTATTAACTGGACATTTTACCTTCTCTTTTTCATGCTAGGCTTTGAAATCCCGCATGAGTGCTGCACTCCTGGCACCCTGCCATGTGGACTGGCCACGTTTCCAGAGCTGCACAGCCACAGGTGCCCACGGCCTGCTGTACGGTGGCACAGGCTTAGGTGGCCGCTTCTCCAAGCTCAGGACTGAGTGGCTGCGTCCTGATCTGGATCTCTGGGGCTGGGCTGGGGAGGGCAGCGTGCGTAAGGGGGAAACCGCTCCAGGAACAGCTCGAACACTTCCGGACCGGGCCTTGCCTACCTAGGCCGGGTGTTCCGGCAGAGGAGAGCAGACATGAGAAGGAAGCATTTAGGAAGCTGTGTTAACAATTGACAGAGTAACTGTACGTCCTCTGAGGCTAGTAATGAAAACTTGGGTGCTATGTTATGTGTCTTGTTTTAATTTTTGGATAAATTCAGTTTCCGTTGTAAAATATTTTTAAAATCTTTCCACCTGCGAGGGAGTGAAAGTAGATAAAGACCGGTCTTCCAGCAGCGAAAGCTTGCGAAGCTGAGCCCTGAGGGTTGGGTGCCGGGGCTCTGTGCTTTTAACGACCTCCCAATAAGCTTCAGGAATGCCAAGTTTGAGCCCTCTGAAATTAGGCCAAAACACCAAGAAGTATAGAACTTGTTTTATTTTTATATTTTATGGTATTGTCTTCCCTTCCATTTCTGTGTCCAGAGTCACAGTCACAGGCCTGGTGGCGCTTCCTAACAAGGGCATCTCTCCCGACTTCAAAGATGCTGTCCCAGTGCTGGTGGGGAGCCCTGTGACATCCACGCAGGCCCGAACCCAGGTCCCACACGGTCCTGCTTCTTCTTGAGACCCTTTGTGAATCCTCTAGGATCCTAGATTTTCAAGGTTTCCTCTGATCCTTCCCAGAGAATAAGACTTTTCAGTCTCCATCTCTTGGAGCAGATATGCAATCTGTTTAAAAAAAAAAAAAAAAAAAAGGAAAAAATCTCTAGAGCCAAAGGAACTCTATTTTTTCTTGTCCTTGCTCAAAGCTTTTATAGAACATCTTGAGCTTTCAAAGGCAGTGTGTGTATTGATTTTTTGTCCCTGACCCCCAGGGTTCATTGCTGCTGTGATTTGGGCTAAAGCTCCCTATAGAAATCCCAGTGGCCTCAACTCGGGAAGTCTTGGTGATTGGATGAGATTGGAAGCAGTTTCCTTATATAAATCATCACAGATGTCCTTTGTAATTTGTCATCTTCTCTCTCTGAGAAGCTTTCCTCCCAGGATCTTTCCTATGTGGCTTGGAGCTTTTAAATCAACCTTCAGGCCTGAATTTCTGTGAGCAAACAGAGGCCTTTCCCTCTGTCCTGGATAGCTTCCTGTGGGGCTGTGTCCGGTTCTGTCACCAGCCCCAGCAGCTCAAGACTCACGTCCGGGGTACACCGCTGTGTTGGTGTGATGGGGCTGCCACAGTAACGTGCCATGGACAAGAACTACAAACATTTATTTTCTCACGGTGCTCGAGGCTGGAAATCCAAGGTCAAGGTGCCGGCAGGGTTGCTTTGTCCCTAGGCGCCCCTCTTTGGTTGGCAGATGGTAGTCTGCGTCCTCGGATGGCTTGTGTCCTGTGCATACGTGCCTGGTGTCTTCCTCTTCCTCAGCCCTACTGGATTCGCACCTTGCCCTTAGGACCTCATTTAACCTTAACCTCTTCAAAGGCCCTGTCTCCAGATGCACTCATGGAAGGTTAAGATCTCAACCTGTAAATTGTGGATGGACACAATTCAGCCCCTAGCAACTGGTTAACGTGGCTTCTGCTTTTTGCCCCATAAGCCTTGGGATGCCGGCTGCTCTCTTACCCACCTCTGTGATCAACGTTTGCTTCGTAGCTCATCTCTCCCTTTAAAGGTGGATTTGATCCATTGCTGGTGCTCAGGAGCACGTTTTGTGGGTTGTGGTGGATTCTATCAGAGACAGCTTTCTACTCTGTACTCTTCAGAAGTGATTTCACAATTACGTAAAACCTAATTTTTGTGTATATGACTCTCCTTTCTCTGCTCTTCTCTCTCTCGGAGACCTGTACAGCCCTCTGTTGCTCCAATCTTGTGGGAGGAGAACTAGTTGCCTTAATCCTTCCAGTTACCTGATCTGTCCATGACTCTGCTTTCTCTTTTGCAAAATGGAGCTGACAATCACACCTGCCTTGTGAGGTAGCTGTCAGGATTAAGTGATAAGCTACTTAAAGAAGGTTAAGCACTTAGTATAGCACCTGACCTGTAGAAGAAACTCAGTATGTGTTCATTTTTTTATACATTAAGTTTATTGGCACATTTTAGGTATACATAATAATCACATTCATCATTGGGAACTTGTACCTGTACATGATGTATCTTGGTTCTTATTTTTTTCCCCATTCCTCTTCCCTCCCTTCAACCCCTGCACCCCTCCCTATTTACAAAAGCTTTGTTTCTGTTTTTTCCTTCTTTTCTTATTTTTTTCTTTCTCTTCTCCACCCACCCCTCAAGTTCCCTTTCCACTTTGAACATTTTCTATCATGGTCAGCCCTTCTTCCCAACAACCAAACAAACCTTGATAACATTTATGGTTTGTTATTAGGTTTTTCTCAAAACTAGCAGGTTAAATAAAAGATGATAGTGGTAGCTGAGTTTGTAGACGCTGTTGGGGGGATGACCATAATAAACTTTCTTTCCGATTCACCCCAGAATTAGTGCTAACAAGTAGAATTAAAAGCTCATACTCCAGCTTTCCCTAACTCTGGCAGGTCTTTGAAATAACCCAAGTGGGGTGCTGTGCTCACACCTTTTCTAAGTGTGTGGATGAGTCTTCCCATCCGCATCTAAATCTCACCCATCCCAAGAGACCAATCCAAGTACAGTCTGTCTTAGACTTTGCCATGGAGTTTGGCCCTTAACAATTGTCTACTGCAGTCAAATATTACATTTTATATTGTGGAACTCAGGGGCCTTGCCATTGTGTGGAGCACATAGCAGAAACATTTATTTTTTAATTAACTGGCTGTTGCTCACCACCAGCTGGGCAAGTTCATTGAAGAAAATACTCACTCAGCCCATATTCAAAAGAGCAGCTCCGGATTCTCCTTTTGGGGTGAATGAGAGTCCACTGAATTCAGAACCATTAGGGGAGGAGAGGACTGTGTATATTTTGCATTTCTCACTAATTCAGTACCAGGACTAAATATAGTGTTATTTAATGTTACGAAATTGGCCCATTTCAGAGTCATTTTAAGTAAACCCATACACTGAAGCTTTAGTATTTCATTTGGGTCACCTGGATTCTCTGTGAATACAAGAAAAGGAACCAAACAGTGTTTAAGTAAAGATTCCTGTTGGGTTTTACTTCCTCTGTGTCCTCAAGCTCAACTCCTTCCCAGCAGAAGATGCCATAGCACAGGGGTAACCCTTCCCCCTTCCCTCCACTCCGAGCTGGTGTGGAGCTCAGCTGCCTGGCTGCTTCCTGGGCGCCACACAGCAGGCTTAGGATTGGTGCACAGATTTTGACGGTGTACATAGTCCCTGAGTCGGTCTGCTGACTTTAAGGTTTTTAAAGCCTGCTTTTCTATGTCGGGTACTCTTGGAGCTCACATCCCCAATCTCCATGAGCCTCAGCTTCCTATTGATGATGCAGAACCTGTTGTGTGAATGAAAAATACAATGTGTGTTTAAACAAAGCATTTTATTATGCTAAAAGACACATTACCAAGAACCTCCCTCAAAATTCTCCCCCGTTTCTTTGAACACACTTATCCCATCATTCTGGCCACTTTCTGAAGCAGTTCTGGAAGTCTTGTTTCATGAGTGTCTTTAGTTGTGCTGTCATGGCCGACACCATGTCTTGAATTGATTCAAAACCTTTACCTTTCATGGTGATAATGCCTTTGGAGAAGAGCCAGAAGTTTCACGGGGCCAGATCCAGTAAATAAGGTGAATGAAGACACACTGACCTATTTTTATGAATTTGCCTTTTCAGCAACAGCATTCACTGCATTTTTGATCACATCTTGTGAAGACACTCATGAAACAGGACTTCCAGAACTGCTTCAGAAAGTGGCAAGAATGATGAGATAAGTGTGTTTGAAGTGAGGAGGAGGATTCTGAGGTGAATTAATGATAATGTGTCTTTTACTACAATACAATTTTTAAATTTAACATTCACCATATTTTTTCATCACCCCTGTAGTTTGCATCCCCATCAGTTTGTGGTGGTAGAAGATGTAAGATTAGCTCTTCTGAGTTTCTTAAGCGAGACAGGCCAACTTGAGCTGGGGTATGATCCCAGCCCAGAACTCCCCTCAAATGTTACACAGCAGAAGTCAGGGGAGCCTTTATGGGAACCTCGTGCCAGTGGCTCACCCTCCAGCAAGGGGGGTTCCAGCTGCTTTTCAAGAAGGGGAGGTGACCAGATGAACAAGCCTCTTAGGAACACGGGGCTGCCGGTTTGAGAACCACTCAAGAGGCAACAGAACAGCTGCAAAATATGATAAAATCACATGAAAAGTTCATTGATTTTGCAGCAAAACTGCAAGTACTTCACTTTATAATAATTGTTCCCTCATGCTCTCAAATCTTGTACTTGAGCTCCAAGGGCATTGGGGTCAGGCGGTGTTCAGCAAACAGGCTGCGAAGACAAAGGCACATGGCTGAAGAGACACTTTAATCATGAGCTAATTTACAAACCAAAGCAAAACAGACTCCCGGTTTTGTCTAAGATTATTAGAAGATGTTAATTCTCTGTTTAAATTATTTCTCTCACTCCTTTCTCCGAGCTCATAACTAGGGGGAAAAAGGAACATCATCCACCCAATCTCGCGCCCCAATTCTTATCTTCCTAATTAAATTTTCCAACTTGGCATCCACGGTGGGTGGGTTACTTTTTTCCCCTTTCTTCTTTTCTCTCTGAGGACAATGTACTTATTATTCAAATTCTTATTGCTTCTTGGTGTGAGCAGCTAGCATCTCGATAAAATGGCTTCTAGCCCTTTCTCCTTACTTTTTCTTTCGACCGGGAGAAATAATGAAAGAGCTTGGACTGGAATGAGTTCCTCTCAGGTCCCAATCTGGGGGAATCCGGTGGGCTGCTCAGTAGAGGCTGAGACCCTATCTGTTGTCCTTCTCCTCCTCCTCCTCCTCCTCCTCTTCCTCTGTGTCAGGCTTGGCCTTGCCCTGCCTTGTCTTGGTTGTACTATCTTCCAGGTTGGCAGGGTCCCATGTCCAGGATTTAAAAGTATGTGAGCAAACAAACCCCAAACTGGCCTAACTCTCAATTATCTGCATGAGTGGAAGACTAATCCAATATTCATTTCCACTTGGCTTTGATTTGAACAGGACAGATTTACCTGGCTGTTTCCGCTTTGGTTGGGTGAATAGTGTTAACATTTTCCATATGTCCGTGGATTGCACCCAAGGAATATTGTGGTGTGGAAGGGAAACCAATTTGAATAGGAGCATCTAACAAAGGTAATCCACGTATGGTGTCTCGGGGGTGCTGGCCTCCCACCATTTCGGCTCCTTTGTTTTCATCCAATCAAAGCATCCAGGTGCACCAGAAGCTCTTAACTCATTTGTCCTCCTGGATGGTAAGTCAAGGCAATCCACCAGTGGGCTCGTGTATTCCAGGCACAGTTCTTCTGGGGACACAGCTCTGAAGTCACCATGGAACTGATGGAGTTTATACACTCGGGAGAAAGACAGCCATGCCCACAGGACACACCGGTGAGCACTGCGAGGGGGTCCACAGGAGAGGAGTAGGTACACCCCGTAGGGACACTGATGGGCACTTCTCAGGGGACACGGCACAAACTCTCTTAGCTGAGACCTAGAAAGCAGGCAGGAGGGCTTGAGGAGATGCAGGAGGAGGCTGTCCCAGGCAGGGAGGTCCCCTGTGACCAAGTCGAGGGTCAGAAAGGCAGAGCGTGTGACTGAGACCCAGGGGCAGAGGCTGGAGGACTGGGGTGGAGGTGAGGGGAGAGATGGGGCCCGCGGAGCTTGTGAAGTAAAAGTTATGAGCACTGTGGTGTCACAGTCAAGAAACCCGGAAGTCACTGGACATTCCGTCCCTCTTGTTTTACAGGTAAGTGAAGTAAGAACGGAAGAGGGGAAGCGGTGATAGAAGGTGGGGAAGATGGAGCTAAATCCAAGTACTTTAGTCAGACGCCTACCACGCTTCCCTGTAAAGGTAATGCTTCGGAACAGCAATGACAGCAACGACAACAAGAATCCAGGACACACAACAAATCTATTTATATGAATACAAAAGAGGACTTCCAGAACTGCTTTGAAAAGTGTCAATGACATAGGAGGTCGGGCTTGGCAAAGCTGCTTGGGGGAAATAAGCGGGGCCTGTCAATTATAAGACCCCAGGGCAGCACCAGATAACTTTCAGGGCCTCTTCTGTAGACCTTCTCTCGATTTCCATGAGATGTGGGCCGTGTGAAAGAGAGGAGACGCAAGGAGCTCAATATCCTACTCAGTACTCTGCACGCTAGCCTTTCCCGAGCCTTCCAGACCCAGGAGGTACTTTTGTTGTTACTTTTTATCATTTTCTCTCTCCTTTTGGCCTAAGTTTGCTCTGCAGAGCTAGTTCTTCCCTTACCCCTTCACTCCTCTTTTAGAAATAAACTTTTGGCACTGTTTTTGGCTTGTCTCATCCAATTCTTTGTTTGAGACAAGAAGGACCTAGAATACTTTTGTTTGGCGAGCCATTTATAAAGGAACAACCCAACGACAGCAAGAATGGTGGGATAAGGGTGGTTGAAATGAGAGTGAGTATTTTTAGGGGGGTTAATGGCAATGTGTGTTTTACCTTAATTTAAAAAAATTGAACATTCCATATATATATATATAGTACCGGGGATCGAACTCTGGTCCTTGCACTTGCGCAGGGGGAGGCGAAACCACTGAGCTAAATCCCTGGCCCTCCCCATATATTTTGATCATTCTTGTGTCTTTGTTCACCTCCTTTCTTCAGGTATTCTGATCAGACTGTGACTCCTCCACTAAGCTGGCCCTTCTGGACCTACTCGCCTCTCTGACCTGCCACATGGAAATCCCAGTAAGGCTCCTGGTCCAGCAGGGTGGACTGGGAAGTGCCAGACCCATGAATTCACACATTTTATGATACGTAGATACACAGAAGGCAATGAGTAATTTAACTCTCCATTTACCTATGAAGACTTTATGACGCAGTTTCTATTCTATAAACAATCATTTAAAATACACGATGGTAATTCACTTTAAGAATCCTGCAATAATTTCATTGAAAAAAAACTCCTTTTAAAATTGAAATGCATCTTACCTTCTCTCCCTAACTTGTCCCATAAATGATCCCACAAGAGCAGAATTTTGTGTATAGTTTCTCAAAGTGGGTGTGGATCTCTTTTTAGTCTCAGGAAGTTTGTCATATTTGGGGGGCCTTATAGTTTATCTCTGAATCCTCTAGGGATACAAATGTTACCAAATATCCCAAGGAGAGTGTAGGCTACAGCTCAGGAAGGACTTTGTGACACAGGGAGACTGTGGGATATTTCCTATAAAATACTTGTAATAATTATACAAAGAAAAGGTTGGGGAGGTCCCCTGTACCTCGAGGGCTGGAAGGGCAGAGTTCAATGACTTCTCCAGTCTCGTCCAGCCCTAAGAGCCTTTGTTGTGATTGCTCTGCCCTTTCCAGCTCTCTGCTTCTGATGCAGACTTTGCCTGCTGGAGCTGTGAGCTCCGTGTAAGAAACTTCCAGCTCCTTGCGCCTGTCAGTGACCTTGTGCCAGCTGGCTGACCTGTGCTTTCTGGGGACACCAGGCCAGGACCATGGGCTCCTCCGATTTGCTTTGACAGTGTAGCTTCCAGGAGTGCCCAGGATGTGTGCAGCTGATGAACCCCTTCCAGGGAGAGTCTGCCTCCACTAGATAGCGTGGGAGGGGATTCCCAGGCATCCTCTCACACTGTGCAGAGAGACTGATTGTCTTTTACAGTGTTTTCTTTGTATGTTACTGGTTATGCATGGTTGACTGAATAACCCATTTCTGGAATCAACCATCAATCATCAATCATCGAGTTCAGCCTAATTATAGGGCCTAGGTATGGTTCAAGCTAACCAGGAGTCTGTTCCCTCTCTCTTTGAGTACAAAATGAACTTGCATGTGGTGTATTTTAGATATACAGTATTAGCAAAGTATTTGGGAATAGGATGAGTTCAACTTAATATTATGTATGCTCACTGCAAAGAACATTTGAATCAATAACCGATTTTCTGTGTTTGCATATATTTTATTTTTTTTAAATTTTATTTTATTGGTACATTTTAGGTATACAATATAATGACATACATCATTGGAAATTGGCACCTTTACATAACCTCTCTTGGTTCTTATATTTTCCCCTTTCCCCTGCCCTCCCTTCAATCCCTCCATCCCTCCCTATGTACAAATATTTTATTTCCATTTTTTCATTTTCTCATATTAATTCCATTCCCTTCTTTCCTTTCCCCTACCCCTCCCACTTCCCCTTCCCC